ATAATAATAATAATAATAAAATTAATCATCTAGCAAGCAAATATAATTTCCTGGTAAAATTCTACCACTATCTCGAGACTTGCTACAAACTGTCTGCATCGATCCGTTGCTGYGTAGTAATATTGTGTTCATGCAAGAAACTTTTTCACTTTCCACCCGTTATTGAATTCGTTTTTAAGAACATAATTTAATCAAACAAGTGCGCATTGTACGATTGGAATTAGCTTCTATTATATTAACCAAATCAGCTTTATTTATGATTCTTTTGAATCACAAAACCTTTACAACTAACTTACTGAATGCSTTTTTAATTTAACAAAGCTTAAATGATATTCTCAATTGAGAATGATCGAATATCATGGTTTACAATATTCGTGACATCGGCTCGTGATTGTATATCCCATACAACACTGCCACTCATATTGTAAATAATACTTTTATTACGCTACATTAATTCAATTGTTTATTTAGGTAATTATGCTTTGTGCAATCTGCATACATCACGATATCACTGTATAATTAAGAAATAATTGGACGAGGAAAATTCCGAGGACTGACAAAATTGGATGAGGCCGTAGGCCGAGTCCAATTTGGCAGTCAGAGGAATTTTTCGAGTCTAATTATTTCTTGATTGGGGAGCATGAAATCCCATTACCTATTAATTATRTAGCAGCCTAATTAATCCCATATCAACAACACCTGTCCAATTAAGAAAATAATTAGACAGTTATTACTGAATTGCCGTACGCAGGCTATTCCCTCTCTCCTCTTCTCTCATCCCCAACCCTCCCCAAAAGCCTCCCAAAACCCACAAGGAACGCCGGGCTACGCAGTCTATGAATTGACAATCTTTGGTCATCGCTAAGTCGGTTCCTATTATTTGAGTAGCTCCATTCTTAACAAATGGGAAAAAAGCAGAGTTCTTGTTATATAGAGTGGTCTGTTAGTCAGAGCAGACAGACAGACAGATTTTTATTCGGAGTTTTGCACTATTGGTGACATCAACTTTARTCCAAATATACTAAATTTCATCGATTATTTCATCTACTGTGTAGCCTTGGGGTGTAGCCATCGGGGAGGAACCCCTGGTTRGTGAAGCAGGTGAGTACTTATCTTTGGTTACGTGTGGAAGGAGTAGGTACGGTTTCCGGTGGCAATTATCTGGTACAGAGAGTGGGATGAGTTGAATTGGTACCTGGTTGCTTTAACTTCTGGCTTAGTGTGCTTAGAGGCTTGCCACATAAAAAGGCATGTCATACAAATTTCATGTATTATGTAGAACTTAAAAGGAATGAGCCGTATATGACATTGCGATATTGTTTTTGGTAAGTTACTGTTAAATGCAATAAGTACACTGAGTTATTTTCTTTTTTCTTAAGAGAAATTTAATTGACATTGAATGATGGGCAAAATCAGGTCAATTATGGATATACTTATATTGATTATCGCGCTATGTCGTAAATGCTTTACAAGATGATTAGCAATTAAACTAAAATATCGATCTAAGTGTTCATTAACACTGCTAGTAGCCAAAGGATTGAACTTGATATTGGTAAAATAAGAAGGACAAATAACTACTTGCACATCATTTTTGCTAAAGCATAATTTACATACGACTAAAAATATATTGGCCCCTACTCAGCACGTGTTAACACTTTTCAATTGACTCGAAATTGACTGATAAATTCACTATTTTCTATATTTCAAGGCTGCTTGAAGCTGTTGCTTGRCGTCTGACAGGTATGCTGGGTCTGGATAACCATATCTACAACAAATTGAAAGATAAGTTCATAATACTGTACTCAGTCATATACATGGGCAACAYATCACCCAGCCTGGTTTTAAATTGCGACGCAGATTAGATATGCAAGCAACYGCAGATAAGAGGGAATCTAGCAGTTAAAGGAATACTGTAATGCAAAGAATCAAGACGCATGCATGTCCTTCGTTTTTACGATAATAATTAAGGGGCGGTTAGAAATAATATTTAGGAAACGGTGGTGGTCAATTTACAATGATGAGAGGTGGTTCGTAATGAGATGTAGGGAATGAGGGTCGCCATTTTACAATTATAAGAGGTGGTTAGTATAAGTTGTAAACACTGAGGTTGGTTTCTTTGATCCTTATGGTCATTTCTGGTCGACWCTCTAACTTTGTCACCTTTTTAAAAATGCATTCTKTAAATGTTCCYATGAGCCAATCGATTGGAAATKWGATTTATTWTGATCRCTCGGGATAAATRAACTCAATGCTTCAAGTTAGAGGGTCTGAGACATTAGAAAATTCATCAGGAAATAATAAACTGAAAAAACGTTTTAACGGTTCGAGTGTCCTCGCTGTAATACGAGATGAATTTCAATAACATAATTATAATTAATGTATACTTACTTTAYTGGCCCTCCACTTGTACTAGTCTTATGAGGAATATCAGCCCATATGATCTGGTTGTCAAGCTTTGAGGTCATAGATCGTCCAATTTTAAATAGGAGACCGGCGTCAAAAGCTTTCTTCAACAACTGCAACACTTTTCTTCCCTCGTGACAATCTGGAAGGTAGGCAGAACGACTGGTGCCTTCGTATCTAACACCAGGATTAGGATGATTCGGTCCTTGMTGCCCACTATTGAATGAGTATTGTATCACAATAGTATCATAATCKTCGTATCCTGGTAAGCTAAACATTTCTCGTCGGTCTCTCATTGAACCATCTGGTTGGGCACCCCTTCCAGGTTGTCCTCTTCTTTYGCTAGCGTCAGGAAAACCAAACTGTTCTTGATAACCATCGRAGTTTTGTGCATCTGATGGCCGATTTCCTCKATTACTACGTGGTCGCTCTCTACGAAAATCAGGAGGAAATTGTCGTAAAGAATCCATATCCATCCAGCCCTGATGATAACTGTATAGTTTATTATAAGGATCTTGCTTCCAAGAATGGGTGCTTGGTTGGTTCCTTTCTAGCTCCGAGCAGCAAGGACATGCAGGATATTCTCTGAACGCCCTATCAAGGCACGGCTTACAATACGTATGCCTACAAGAAAGGATTTGAGCCTGTCTGACTGGTTTGGCACAGACAAGACACAACGTGGCATCATCATMATGATCATCTGTAAACAATCATAGACAA